GAGTTTCGACCGTAGCTCATATGGTGGTTTCCCTAAATAAGGGGACCCCAATATAGACCCCAATATACTATGATCCTTATTATGGGGACCCCTAAAATGGTACCCCTAATTTTGGGAAACCCCCATATGGACATCCTTCGGCAAGCAGGGTCGCCGGCTCTTGACTGCGTAGCGAAAGCTCCGAGTGCGACTCCGACTCAGACACGGATGCCTCAAGAAACCATTTTAGTAGTATAGGGGATATATATATATATATAGGGGGTATATAGGGATAATGGAAAAGAAAATGGAAACTGCTATTTAGGGCTTGGGATTAACTCTCCTAAAAGCTGAAGAAACCGCGCTTAGCAAAATGCCCTGCCAGCTGACCTAACAGATCTCCACAATACCACTGGATCAGTGAGGCTTGTGCAAGTAGTGGGCAAACATGTTACGCACCTCTGACTCTGACTCTTCCTCTTCGCTGCTGCTCCTTGGCAAACAGCCGGCTTGATGCGTGAATAAGCTTTGTGCCAAAAATGTGTTGCCGCGGGCTGCCAGCACTCAGCTGCGGACTCCACCTTCCGCTTCGGAGGTCGTTGCCGCATGCGGGGACCACGTTGCCGACGTCCCGGTCGGCGTGGTGCCTGGCACAGCTCGCCGCAAGCTGACCATTAGATGCTCAACCCGTCCCTTGCCAGTCTCCAGCCTTGGGGCGCTGCTGCACCGAACCTCATGCAACTGTTCCATGCTCCCACAACGGGTGCCAGAGATGATTTCAGAGGACGTGTGTGTTCACAGTTGCAAGCAAGCGGCCCTTCATCATCAGGTCATGTAGCAGCTGTTCCGCATGTGCTCGTGCCTGGCACTGGGGGTGAGTGTGAAGACTTTGCTAGCTCATGTCAGACACATCGCTGGTTTGGAAATCTATCCCTGAGCTTGCACACCAACACTATCTTCCATGTTCACAAACTCAGAGCTTACTGCCACGCCTCTGGACGATGGCCGCATATCAGCAGCACATCTGAAGTACTGCTGTCGCCCTGGAAGAAGCAGAACGTTCCGGACTCCTGTCAGGGCAGATCACTAACGATGCCCTGTAGAGGCTGCATGCAACTCAGCCTGACAAAATGTCATTTGAATCTGTGCAACGCTGGCTGTGTCAGAACTTCAGATATATCCCCTGCACATGCCCAAGCCAATCATGTCTACAAGAAGACATTGCTGTTAGATAAGGCTACCACAGGATGGATATATATATATAATATGTACATACGGAGCCTTCTCCACCTCGCGCAGCGATGCAGCTTTGGTAAGGCCGCGCATCTCCTCCAGAACCTCGCAAGCATCCGGTTACAGTTTGTGTTGATTAGCATGTCTACTGCTATATCTAGTATTATGATGGACGTTTCTTTCATTATGGACTTTAGGCTTTACGGTCCAGAGTTTAGGATTCAAGGCTCATGATTTCAGGCTCGCGTAGGGTTACGGTTTGGAGGGGAAGTTTTCCTCTCACAATGTGAGGTAGGAGTTTGGCTAGCTGGCTCTCACAGTGTGGGCGAACTGACACGGGCACTTGTCCTGAGATAGGGACTCAGACATAAGAACCCGTGCCATACTGATTCATGGTAGGATTAATATTTCCTGTTATCGGAGAAGACTCGGGGGTTAGCCTGACATGTACCTTTCCGCGCCTCCATCTCCCTGATGTCATCGCGGCCAGTGACATCGATGGTCACAGGGCCAGTGCGTTGCCAGGTGAGCCACGTGAGGTAGTCCCTCCAGACTTCGGGCTCAAGAAGGGAAGTTGCATGAGTCTCGCGATCAAGTTCTACTTGCAGAGTATATAGGGAAATGTGGGGGTTGTATTCGGATAATGGAAAATGAGATGGAAACTACCATTTGGAGTTTAGGGTTTAGGCACCCCAAACACGCCTCGCTCGCTTGCGCTCTTCGAGGGTGCCAGCCATGTAGGCGACGTTGCCAACCTCATTCAATGAGGAAGACTACCGTCTGCAAGTCCTAGACCTGCTGTCTTTCGATTTCATGTGCCTTGGGATTCTCCACTATTGGGGTAGTATTCCCTACATAATCCCCCTACATCTTGTAGTTTCTATTTCAAGTCGTCTCAGCCCCATGCATACTCCAAGACGCAGCCGCTGGCTTTGGCCTGGCGCACCGGGGCATAAGCTCCCAAAGACTGGGCTGCGGTTCAGGAACTTAAACTAGGTTGCTATAATAAGGAACCATTATTTTCGGTAGCTTAAGTTAAGAATTAAGTTCCTTAGCAGCACCCCCGAAAAAGCGAATCACTATGGAGAGCTATATTATCATTCCTACCGTTCTTGTTGCTACTGTCATGTCTTATCATTGCTGATACTACTAGTAACAGCATTATTATTATCATTGCCGTTATTACTGTGGAGTTGCAAATGGCGCCAGTTGGACCAGCTTCCTCCTGGTAGCACCATCCTCAGTGGGCAGTTAAGGCTTGTTAGGGGATAAGGGGAAAGAAAATGGGAACTACTGTAGTACATTGGGGATTATATTGGGATATTATACTTATTCGTGGTTAGTAGGGATCTGGGAATATAATGTGTGGGGAGTATAGGAATCTGAGTCCTGTCTTCTCTACTAACCATCAGCAAGACCGGTTATGGGCTTGATAGGCCAGTCTCTGCAAAAAGAATGCATACAAACATGCCTGCAGGGTTCTGTATCCAGCGGCCTCCCTGAACCCCAAACCGTTTCCTTTCTGCAAGTGTACGAAAAAGATGTACATCTCACATCGTTCAGGGCAGGGGCTTTAAGAGAGCCTAAGCCCTGAACCTGAAACCTGAGAGTGAAATGCTAAACCGCAGCTGCACGTCTGAGCAAAGCTGTGCAAGGTATATAAACCGCCTATATACTGCAGTTGTCATTCTGTTTTCCATCTGCTTTTCCACTTGACTCTCCATTCCCGCCACTAGATTATCCCCACTGTATCATTCTATAGAACACTATATCTCCCCACACGAGGAGCTCTTTTTGGTCGTTGCACCCAGTAAGAATATTAGAACCTACTATACGTCACTATACCCCAAAGGAGGATATAATCTTACTCTATGTTGGGGTCTAGAGTCTAGAGTCTTCACAACTAAAATACGACTCATATGAGCCAGAGTCTAAACTCCAAGTATCCTCCTAATAACCCCCATATATACTCGCCTATAAAACCACTTTAAGGAATCGTAAAAAAACCTATAACACTCCGTTCCATGATAGACAGTCCCCTATGTACATAACCCTTTTTAAGGAGTATATAATCCCTTAATAACCCCTATAATCCCCTGTTCTGACGCATAAGACCTATTTATCCCACCAGGCCTTGCCCAGCGCGAAGGAAAGCTCATCTCCGGGAAGTGGTATGGTGTCTACCTTGCCGCCCATACCCGCTCTGTGACATGTTGTGTCCCAGGGATATATAGGGGCTGTATAGGCTTTATTATAGGGTGTTATAGAGGTTTACAGGGGTTTATAGGGGTCACATGGGGGTGGTCCAATATTCCTTGTCCCAGAATGCCCTTGGGGTGCGCTTGCGCGAAGCTTGTGCAGACCTTGCGCGCGGGGGGTTACCTGAAATTGCTTTTGTAGGACGTGTACTGATAAGCTTATAGTACATTATTCGTTTTGCGCCAACCCTTCGGGCGCTCTTGTGCCAAAATTGCGCGCACATGGGGTTTTGTGGAATGTCGTCATCATCCTGTTTGGAGCTATATTAAAAAACGAAAGCACGGGTTTCTGGAGGACTATATGCTATAGGCAGATGTTGGGCACAATTGCGGATCCATTTTGGAGATCTGTGTATGTTAAGTGGAATACAGGGGACCTTTCCAGACAACTTTCTAGTGGCTTCCGGCGTACTGATCTGCCAATTCTATCAGCTTAGCTTGGTGGAGACTGAGATGAGTGCTCCCCAAGGGCCATCGTAATGGAAATCTCCGACCTCGGAGTGGCAGCGAAAACCGCTTTGTATGAAGCACACACGAAACGTGATTTTGCAACATGTGAATTGTGTGAGTGCAAAATGTCGCTCATTCTTTGCGGCGGCGGCAGAGCTTTACAGTTGACAAGACCGCAATGCACAAGGCCCGGGCCCCTCTGGTGAAAAACCTGAGGCAGCTTGCAGTTTTCGAAAGCAGCCGCGGGATTATGGGTATGTGTGCTGTTCTCAAAATTATGGGGCGCTTTTGGTTATGGATTCTATTACGCATGTGTGTTTAATTAGGCTGGCGTTTTTTCATTCAAGTAGCGAGATTCTCCACAATAAATCCCCCAAGAAACCCCGAAAGAGGGACCGCAACTTAGGGGCACATCCAAATAAAACTTTGGGAGACCGTGCCGAACAGGTTGTCTGTTGACTGATTGGACTTGAACTAGAGGATATGTAGGGTTCCCAATGAAAAACCATCCTTTTAATGCAAGCCCTGTCGCCTACATTCGTCCAAGGCACTGCGGAATCTTCGTCTCAACAGCACCCATGACCTGGATGTCAGATTCAAGAAGCCGACCCTTGTTGCCACTCGCTTCGGAGGATAGGGATGGAGGAGGACAAAAAGCAGCACATCACAACAGTAGTTGCAGTGGCTGCAAACAGTCGTGCTTTTTGTGGTATGGTGTGTCAGAGGCCTGGGGGCAGCCCTTCCCCAACAGAGCTGGTTCTGCTGTAAGATGCTGTAACTACCCTTGTCAAGTCATCAGAACAGCAAGGTGCCGCCTATGTACAGCCTGCCACAGCAGTTGCATCCGGTCGGAATTTACAAGACCCTGAAAAAGCAACACCCCAAATCCAACAAAGCTTCTTCCCACCCCCCACCCTCACGGCCTTGAGTTCTGTCCCCGCACGTCCGCGTTCAGCACCAAAAATGGCCAGGCCCTCCACATCATCCTCACAGGTCACTGGATCGCCATGAGCTCAAATGGAATCTGCCCTTGTGGAAAGGTGAAACTCTTGTTCTTTACATACAGAAAGGCTTGCTACATTTTCACCTTCACCCGTGGTCTGTGGCAAAGTAACGCCTACAAGCACAACTTGAATGTAAGCAACTAACAGAAGCCCTGTCTGAAGCATCTTCGTGAACATCCTGACTACACCGGCACTGTCCGCAGCGAAGCTGCCAAAGACTGATTCCGAAAATCAGGTGTGCTTCATCACGCGCGAGCTCTAGCTCAACTTTCTGCAAAACGAAACAGCAAGTTTCCTACATAATGGCCTGCTGGTAGGTGGGGGGTAGACCCCTGTTGTCCACGAAGAAGATCAGTGTCTCCCAATCCTGGCACAAGGTTTTTTCTCAGTGAAAGGAGTGCGAAGTATCAAGACATCCTATCCCATCACTCAGCTTCTAAGCTCACTCAACTTGTGCGGTCCGGCAACTGCTCAAGACAGGCCTGAAAAGGCATGGTAGTTCCCAAGCTAGGGGTCCCTGTCTGGGGGCCCCAAGAACAAGAACCTTGGAAAGGCCCAGATAGGTGCCTCCTCCAGCCGGCTCAAAGTCTTGCGCCTGATGCAATGAGCTCTAAACCATCCTCTCGGAAAAAGCGACTAAATTAAATGTGGATAGGGTGTTTAGGGTTAGGTTGCGCTGTGTTTTGGGTTGCAATGCCCAGCCGGACTCATCTCAAAACCTGCCAGATGGCACCAGCATCGAATCTTGAGAACAGAAGCTACATAAGGTCCTGGCTTATCACCCATCACGTATCCGATGCACTCTTTGGGCACAGGAACGAGGGTGACGTCTTCGCGCACAGACGGGTCGATTGAGATGCGGCCTGCGACGGGACATGCATGAAAACTACGGGTCTCAGAACAGGACCTACATCCTAAACCCTAAACCCTCAATAGTAGCTTCCATGTTCTTTTCCATTATCCCTATATAACCCCAATATATACCCTATATAGCCCCTTGTAGTAGTTTCGATTTTCTGCTGGGCTTCCAATGCCCAAGCCTCAGCTTTCGTAAGCCTTCTACATAAATCCTTTAAGCCGGTCGCGATATCCTCCACGCAAACCCCATAATGCCGCAAAGGTCCCCACTGCAGTAGGCAGTGAGCCCTAAACCCTAAACCTTAAACCCTAAACCCTAGACCCTAAACCTTAAACCCTAAACCCTAAACCCTAACCCCTAAACCCTAAACCCTAAATCCTAAACCCTAATGGGCCTGTCTTGTTCCCCACTTGATCGCAGAGCCAGCCTGGGAACATGCTCAGGTTTAGGTTGGGTACTGCCCCCTCCCAGTAACAGTCTGTATTAGGGGTCCTATTAAGGGCTATATAGGGTTTAGGGTTTAGGGGTTTAGGGTAACAGTCTATATTAGGGATCCTATTAAGGGCTATATATAACCATATTATACGTATTATCTAAACTGTTACTGAGGGGAGGCAGTTCTGAAGGTTTAGGGCCAAAAGGTGCTTCTACTTGGAGGGTCAAGTGGACTAACTGAGCATTCCTACAGTCCTTACAAGCCATACCATAACCCCAGCTATCCCCATTACTGACCTACTTACCAAGTCCCCCTGACCCACCAAGTACTGGCGGCCACAATTCAATGGAACTTCCAAAGGTCTGCTTCCAACCCTACCTAAACCCTTTTCCATTTTCTTTTCCATGTTCTTTTCCATTATCCCAATAGAACGCCAATATAAGAGACCCTGCTTCAGATTGCTGTGAAGGCAGGATGGGGAAGTTCATCTCGCAAAGGGAAGTAGCCAAGCTAAGTTGCAGCTAGATCAACGTGCAGGGGCATGCCTAGATATTCTCTTCCACGGCGACGGTTTGGTAGGTAACCAGCCTCAATCCAGCAGGTCAACTGCAGGTCATGATCTAAACCTCTAGCTCTAGCACTTTCTGAGGATGTGTAAATTTGCATGCATGAGTTGATTGCTCGGATGCTTCCAAGCAAGTCTGGCTCAGCTTGCTTGGAAAGGTGAGTGGCGGGCCATGAAGGCAATGTTGCCCACGTACTCCATGATGCAGCCTCACCACCAAATGGTGTCTCAAGCTCATGGTTTCATTTCTGGCAATCATCATAGACATGCTATCACGCTGCGAGCAGAACCTTGCAAAGCTGGTGAGGATGCAAGCGAACTAATGCTGCCCTGTACAGTCCCGAAATTGGAGAGTCTGCATAGGATGGATGCACCCTATTTAGATGAATTCTGAATACTCTAGCGTACTATCTTCTTGAGACTGATTGGAATCGGCTGCGGCTGAGGCAACGGCCACTGGCCTTTGCCAGCTTCTGGCGAGTGGAGCCCTTGCGTCCGAGCACGTACGAGAGCTGCTCGCTGTGCATGGGGTAGGTATCCGTGCCCCACCTTGAGCTGCAGTACCACCAATACTAAAAGCAATAATACTGGCAATAACAATAATGGTAGTGATAAAAATACTAAACATACTAATAATAAGTAGGAATAGTTGCTTGCATTTCCTCGACGCGCGGAAGTCTACTTAGCACCAGCGCTACAAAGCTATGCTGTTCGCAACGGCTTCAAAGGAATTGGCTTTGCCACAGCCGCGGCGAAGGAACCCTCTAAGGATGGCGCTCGTCCCAGGACTGGGTTTCACCAAGGTTCGTGGTATAGAAGCCAGGGAGCTTTGTCTCAATGGCAGCCATGACCTCCGTGTAGGCTGGGCAGAAAGAGCCAACCCTCATTCTGAGCCCTTCAGAGCCGAGAGCGAAGCCTTCAGCTCTGCACCGCAACGTGCCCAAAGAGTCCCAAAAATGGCCAGCTTCTCCTTGGCATCAATCAGTTTGGCTTTGAAAACCTGGCTTAAAAAAGGCAATCAGCCTCTTGAGCTGATTAAGCTCTTTCTGTCAAGGGGCTGAGCTCCCACCCCACATGTCCAAGCTTCCACCTGCCAGGCTTTTCACATCTTGTGCCAGCCTAGTACGTTTAGCGGATTGTATTGTGCTTGGGATGAGGGTGATCGTCGGCGTGTTGCGTGGCTGTCAGACAGACCCAGCAAGACTTTAGCGGCTGCTGCCTCCTTGGTAATCGCAGAAGAACATGAGCGTTCCCCACTCCTCCAAGCAGCATGCACAGGTCCCGGCTCCAAACTCAAACATAGCTTCTGACTGAGCAGGTTTCCAACCTGTCTCCACAGTTACCTGCGGACATCCAGTTGCAGATCCGACCCCTTAGGGGACCCTGTCTCATGCTCACACTCGTGTCCTCTTCGCAGGTGCGGAGGAAGTTTCCCTGGCTGCCAGTGACGAAACCTGCTCATGGACTGCAGGGCCACACAGGCCACATGATGCAATGCAAAAACGTGTGGACATTGGCCAAATCAGGGTATCCCTAGCAACCCTAAAGATTATGTGGGTAGTAAGTACATGAGAGGTGTGAATTATAGGACTTTTGAAAAGACGATTTTTCGGACACTCAACGTCTTGCCAAACCCAACCTTTACCGGCGGTAAGTAGGAAATGAAGGAATGGATCCCTTTAACAATACCTAAATGGACCTGAATCATATCCAGGGAGAATCCCCACATTCCAGTTCCCGATTCCACGAGTCACCAGTGAACTGGGCTGCCCAGGAACTTTACTCTAATTACTATAATAAAGGAACCCTAGTATTTACTATATACCCATCTTATGGTAACCTTAACCCCAAACCCTAAAATCCTGTTCCCGATTCCACGAGTCACCAGTGAACTGGGCTGCCCTTGAGGAACTTTACTCTAATTACTATAATAAAGGAACCCTAGTATTTACTATATACCCATCTTATGGTAACCTTAACCCCAAACCCTAGAATCCTGTATACCCATGTTATGTTAACTTGGACCCTAAACCCTATAAGCCCATATGAGCAGTTTTTTTGGTGGTCGAACCTAGTAAGATTATATCCCTTATATAAAATTCTATACCCAAAAGGAGGATAGAATCTTACTCTATATTGGGTACCATAATAACCCCAAATAAAATACTACTCATATTATGGTAACTTAAATCAAATTCCTTAACAGCAGCGCACTAGGGCAACTTGCGTCTCAGTGCAGGGCCGACGCAGCTGCTGGGCACGGCGATGAGTGTGAGGTCCTACAATTTCTCTATATACAGGGGTAAATATTATATATATATATACAGATAGATAGGGGTATACAGGGATATATACATAGGGATAAATGGGTACTTCCCAAAATTGGGGTCCCATTTTGGCACCCCTAAATATTAGGTGCCGTAATATGATCTATAACCCAAAGGGGTCCATCATTTTGAGAATTACCCATATGGGGATTACATACAGAGGACAGCGGAAAAGAAATGGAAACTACTATGGTATATTGGGGGTTAGATTCGGACATTATACTTACTGGTTCTTGGTAGGGAATAAGGGAATATATTATATTGGGACAATATGGGGATTACATTCCCTTGTTCCCTGCACAAAACCAATAAGTTTCTGGAAGTTTAGCAACAAGCGGGGCCGCACCTATTGAGCCCCCGTCACCCTAATCTTTAGGATCTTTTTTTGGACCCCAGGAAGGGACCTACATTTCTGAGAAACACCACTATTTCCAAACCTTTGTTGCAATTGAAGTCATGCCGCTGCTAGGTCGGATTACCTAGTCGCACATGGCCTCGAGGTGCCCCAATATATACCCTACTATAATATAGTTGCTTCCATTTTCTTTTCCATTATCCCTATATAACCCTAATAATATTCCCCCATATTCTATCTTAACCCTAAACCCCAAAACCCCAGATCTTCTTCCACCTTTCTCAACTACAGCAGACTCTGTAGACTTGCTTGTAGGCTTCTGCTTTGATTAAGGGAGATGTGCTGGGATCCCGATGGAACATGGGAAGCGCCATTGTCCGGCTACGACCAAACCAGCGTACCTCACAAGCTTGAAGGAAGACCTTGTGACATTGTGGTAGAAACTGTAGATTTGAAATGCGTTGAATGTTGCGAAGATTGCTTCGTGGAACGAGTGTTGAGCTAAAAGGGCTCCGGAGGAGAATGCTTAGCTGAAAGGGATGCCAACATTTCAGCCCTCCAGTCCCCGTCATCGTGGGACTCGTCCACGTGCACAGGTCCAATTCTCTGAGCACGAACAAGGTCGATGTACTTCCGTGCCCGTGCACGGCATTCGTCGTCGCCTCGGAACGGACCATGCTACAGTACATTTGACGCTATAGTTGCAATATGAGGATGAAGGGTGGGGACTTGCTATTACTGGCTTTACGTAATGCAAATGCTCTGAGCTTGCTGCCATAGATCTCGACTGTGCTGTTTCGCTCGTGCAGCTCAATCTGAGATCCTGAAACCTGCGCTGTGCCGTCATGTCATGCTCTCATGGGCAAGAACCGGGAGCCGCTTTTTTTTGGGGATAATGGATAAGAAAATGGAACAGGGATTACGGGGACTATGTAGGGCTCATATAGGGAATAAACGGCAAAATTTGACAGCCATTCATGCTGGGCTAAGGCACTGACCCTGGCAATTTTGTGCTTCGTTTTCCCACCCCGGCCGAGGATGAATGCAGCATCATCCTGCCAAAAGAAAAGGGTTGGTTCTCTTCTGGGCCGAGAAGTCCAAACCCTGAAGCAGACACACACACAACAACCCTGGCCGAATCATTCGAAAAGACATTGGGCTTGCTTTGTAGTTTCCTTATGAAAGGCTTTACCAGGTATCGCTTAGAACCTTGCTCAAGTAGCTGAGCTTTCGCATGGCTGAGATTGTCCTCACTGACCCTCAGTACATCGCAGGCACGGCCAGCTGCATGGAAGGCCCGGCCACCTGCCATGCCCTTTTTGCAATAAGTCAGGAGTACCTTGAAAGGGGTTTATAGGGGTTGTATAGGGATATATAGGGCTTACATAGGGCTTGGGGTTTAGGGATTTGGGTTTAGAGGTTTCCCAAAACAGGGGCACCTTCTTGCAATAAAGACCCTTGTTTGGAATGGGGGTTTCCAAAATTCGGCTGGCAATGGCTTAATATTGGTAGCACAATGTAGTCATGTCGTATACTAGTATTGTACAGAAATACAACACAGAAATCTAGAGGCTTCCAAAATTAAGGGCACCTTTTTGGGGGCCCTTATAGGGGTCTACATTGGGGTCCCCTTATTTTGGAAAACTACTGTATGCACTGGCAAGAAACAAGGTGCGAGCACACGGCCTGAATGAGATGTCTGCTCATCGCGGCGTTTGATCGTGACATCCTACGCTCTGCAAATAATTGGTAATCATAGTAATAAGAATAATAGAAATACTAATAACAATAACAATAATAGTAATAATCATAACAGTATTAAGAATAGCAGTAATAATAGTAGACCTTCCACCCTCCCTCACATGCTGTTAGCACTCAATCCGCAGTTCTTTGCAGTCGAGCTTCGGAATCGTCGAGCTCGAGCCCATGGTCTCTGTACAGCTCGTGAATAACCTCTCAGACCAAGAACAACTCACTGGACTTTAGGCTTGAATTGTGTGGAGGATACTCATGTGACATCTTCTAGGTGCCCAACCCTCTGCGGCTTTCACTGCTCATTCCAGTCCATGCTGCGCAACAGCCGGCCATCGCGCCTTGAAGGTCTGTTCGACGCTGTCCTGATGGCCCTGGATCTTCAGCCTTATGTTGGCAAGAGGCAAGGCGTGACAAGACCATAGCTATATGAGCTATAGTCTAAACTCCTGGTATCCCCCTTAATAGTCCCTATAGTAGTCCCCTATATAACTTAATCCCCTATATAAACCCCCCATTAAGAAGTTTAGACTATAGCTCATATGCCCTTGCGCCGTTCGTGTCAAGGCCAGGACAAGTCCTTTGGCTCTTCGACTTCGGCAGATGAGATCCATGGCATGGGGCGGATGTAGTGACCTCCATGCACAGGTAGATGAACTTAGCAATTCCTATGGGTAGCATGCCCCCAGAATAAGGCTCGAACTCACTTTGTTGGCCAAAGCTGCAGTAATCCTGCCCCAGTGCTGTGACTTTCCAAGCAGCAAAAATGCGGAGGTTGCCAAACAACTTTTGGGGGGTCCCAGAAACAGGATTGTATATGTTGAGGTCTCTATTGAGGTCCCAATACTTAAGGAAACCACCGGACCATGTGAGCTATAGTCTAAACTCCAAGTATCCCCCTTAGTATCCCCTATAGTAGTCCCCTATATAACCCCCTATATATCCCATTTAAGGAGTTTAGATTATGGCTCATGTGGACTTCCATTTCGAACTGGTATACTGAGATTCGCGCTGCGGCTGCATCTTCACTTTGCCTGGGCCCCTATGAATACCAGTAGCTACTTAAACTGAATGCCTCGGAAGTTGTAGATTATCAGTGGATTTTGGGAACCCCAACCCCCAAAAATCGGATCATGAAACCATCATATCACTGTTGTAGGGTCCTCATTTTGGAGGTTGGGGTTACCGAAGCACCTTTCTTAGTAGTAAGCCCAAGATGCACATGCACGTTCCTCCTGGAACTTTATCGATTCACCCCACAGACCTGTAGTCCACTACAAGCAGAGGGCACGTGGCTACGGTCAAATGGCCACGATGCTGTTTACCAGCAACTGTTCATATCTTGCAAATGTCGGGCTACAAGTTCTCAGGCAACGCTTGTTGCAGCATGTTTCCGTCTTTTAACAACTATTGGACTGTAAGTTATAACGTCCTCCCACTATGTCAATGAGGACATCCACCCCCTTGGCTCAATGATTTCTAACCTGATCTCGCCAATCTAACTTAATAAAGTCACCCTATACCAGAATACTGAATACGGATCCCTACATCTCCTCTGTAAAGCAGAAACACCGTTCAAGGACACCGCCAACCGTTTTAACTTAGTGGCTGCTTACTCTTCGGCTGAGCCACAAGTCACAAACTTGTCCGCAAATTGCTGCAGTTGCCGCTTCGCCTCGCTGGCTTCGAGAAAAGCAGGGGTAGTAGTAGTAGTAGTAGTAGTAGTAGACGTCGTGGTGGTAGTGGCGGTGGTAGCAGCAGTATGCAAAAGCTTCAGAGAGAATGATCTATCTCGGAATGAAAGAAGGGGGCCTTTGCTTCTGGACTTCCCAGAATATTCCACGAAGATTAAGGAAATCCTGCAATTTGCTTACCCATTTGAGGGGAACCTACCTACAATTTGAGCCTTTGACCAAGAGTCCTTAGTATCCCTCTTAGTAACTCTCTAAAACTCCCGTATATAATCCCCTCTATAAGCCAATTTAAGGACTTTAGACTATAGCTCCTTTGGGTCTTACCCTGAATTAGGGTATCTGTACCATGTCTAAGGGTCCCCATAATCAAGACTGTCGCATGTTCGCGGTCTATATTGGAGTTCCCCTGTTCATGGAAACTACTCTATTTAAGTTTCCCTTAGGCCTTCCTTAAACCCTCAACCCCATTTAAACAATGCTTCCATTCTATTTTCCCTTTGCTTCTCCAATTGATTTTCCATTATTTCCCAAAAACAGAATATAACCCCAATATAACCCTCATAATCCCTGTAGTTTCCGTTATCCCTATACAACCTCCATATACCTCCGAGGGGGGGCCTGGCTGACCCTGTCCGAAGTCCCTTGGACCTGGATCATGGCCTTGTCTTTCAGGAGCCTGGCTTGTCTTATTGGCTCTTAGTAGGGCATGAGGGAAACTATTGGGGAATATAGAGGTAATGGAAAAGAAAATGGAAGCTACCGGGATTACATGGGGGTAAATAAGGATTATAGGGAATATGTTGGGGTAATATAGAGACAGTGGAGAAGAAAATAGAAGCTACTACATTATCATACTCTTTCATTCCGACTAGCTACCAGTAAGTTGTGAGCTCTAGTCCTACGCGTGCATTGCATCCTTGTTCGATAGGGATGATATCAACGACAAGAACGAACAAGTAAGCTGGGATGACGTCAGCTTGGTCCCTGTTGCATTTTCGACATCCTGCGCTGCTCAAGACACAAGTATCACTGCGCTTCATGGTAGCATGGCCATTGGTATTGCTTTGGCCGGTGTCCTCGATCACAGGATCTTCTCCGTTGGGCCCTGTCTGGATCATGACCTGGCAGAAGTGAGTGTTCTCCGAACCTGCATGTGTTGTTCCATGTTGTTCCCTCACATAGCACCGGCTGATGGCCGCATTAGTGGTCTTCCTTCTTACATGCTGGGGCTGTGGCATGTACGCTGAGGTCCCCTCGGAGAAGGAAGTTGTCGCCTCGTCAGAGTGCAGTGCGATGACGAGTACGGAGATAGTATATGCTGCCAGTTCATGTAGCATGGCAAAGAAAAGGTGAGATCCCACTCAGCCCAGCTGTGCAGAATACACCCGAATTGCGCCTTTGGGCTGAGAGCTTTCAGCAGCTTAGAAAGCAACGCGCGCTGTGTATGCCGGGGTGGCGGCTGACTTCTACAGGTTCCTGCCACCCTCCATAATGTCGGTCGCCTGGAGTGACACCATGAGTGAACTTCGGATCTCCAAGCATCTTGCTTCTACATCCAATCCCCTCCTGCCACCATTGCTACTATAATGACTATTCTTACTATTTTTGCCATTATAATTTTGCGATTCTTAGTATTACTATTATTGTTGCAATTACTGTTATCACTATTGCTGTTTGCCACTGAGGCGCCACCTTGGTTGGACCATGCATAGTTGTCACCACCCCAGCCTGCGAAGCAGTAGGCAAGCCAAAAGTTTTGCTTTGAAAATCTTGCACTCAACCGGTAGGCCTCCATCATCGTCTTTCCTTCCGCACGCTATTTAAAGGATCTTGGGTAGTTACAGCTAGGGCTGAAATCATCTAAGATGCTAAATACAGTTTCCTTGTAACCACAGTTATAAATACCCACGGCCCGTCAATTAGACGGCATTACAGATGCAGCTGCAGACATGATGGGCCATAGGACATGGCTGGCCTAAGCTGACTTTATTCATTCGCTCCTTCCTTTCAATAGAATACGACCAATGTTGAACTCAGCTGGATATTCTCCGAGAATAAGGGTGCACCTTATACTCAAGCTAATTACTAGAATCTCTATTGCAGGAACTACAAACTCCTGGAAACCCGAAACACTACACATCCTTCTAAAACTCTTAAATGGCTCTTCTATAACTCCATATATGCCCTTTCAACCCTTCAACCCTACAACCCCGCCCCCCCCTAAACCCTAAACCCTATATACCCCTTTCTACAGGAACCGCGGGTCCTGTATTTTTCATCAATCTTCGCCAGGGCGATGCCTTTGGCCTTCTCTCTGCCAGCCTTGTCATGGCCGAAGATGAGCAGCCTGAGTCCAGAAACTATAGGGGTTATATACGGTTTAGAAAGGGACTATATAAGGATTATATAGGGTTTACATACGGATTATATCAGGATTATATAGGGTTTACATAGGGATTATATAAGGATTCTATAGGGTTTATATAGGGATTACATAGGGATTCTATAGGGTTTATATAGGGATTATGTAAGGATTATATAGGGTTTTGAAGATTCTCAGGTACTCCAGTG